TTATTTATTCTAGGAACAAAGTTGCTTCATGTTTCAAGTTTGTAAACTTTGCGTATATTGGCATCAATACGAATGCTTTGTGACAGAGAGTGCCTCTAAATAACATAGGAACATGCTAACTCTATCATCACCATTTTGCTTGCTCCACAATCATTTCAAAGCTGCATAGCAATTGGGTATTCTCGTAAAAGAGCGAGATGTGTCATGTGAATTAGTACGAAGAAGAGAGAGAGAGAGAGAGATAAGTACTACAAAGAAGAAGGGGAGACAGAAGAGAGAGAACAAAAGAAAGATCCAGAGGTAAAATTGTAAATGAAAAATAATTAAAAATACAACCACGAAATAATGTGAATAATGTGAGTTTGCTGATATTTAATTAATGGGGTATGTTATCCACACACCCTATTTTACTTTTCACACACCTTATTTTACTTCTCACACACCTCTTGATACTTTTTGTCTGTTGATCTTCTTCAATTCATCCGATCCGACGGTCGAAAATTAAAAAGGTGTGTGAGAAGTAAAATGGGATGTGTGGATATCACACCCCTTAATTAATAGGTAACTAATCCCTAAACCATTTTCACACATTTCTCTTGTCATTCAATTTGCTTCTGCTGAATTAAGAGTTACATGTTCAGAAAACAAGTGTTTTAATTTTATATGGAATTTTTTTTTTATATTTTTATTATTTTTTAAGAAAACCTCGACGGTACGAGGGATATTTTATTAATAACGAAACAAATAAGTTACATTTAGTCACAGGAGAATATAAACCTTACCCCTCATAATGCCAAGAAAATGAGAAAAACAACATTGAGTAAGAAGGGGGGACATAAACCTTACCCCTCTAGAAACGAAAACAAAAATTATACAAGGGAGGGGGGACATGAAACCTAACCCCTCTAAAGCCAAACCTGAAAGAAAATACAATGAAACAAGACGACGAAATTTGACAAAATCATACAACACAACCATACTGGCATATTCGTCACAGCAAGGAAAATGCCAACAAACTTACGCATAGTACAAAACAAAGCTAAACATATTCAACTATTACATGATACATTTTAAGCACTATCCTATTCAGCAACTGTGAAAGAAGAATGCTCCATGGCATGTTTACCAGCAAAGAACCAAGCACAATCCAAAACCCCGTGAAGAATCCAACTCCTAAGCTCACGTAGAACCACCCATCTTCTAGTAAACGGTATCCACCTCCTCCGTCTTGCTTAACTGGTGGTGGCGGCGGGCTGCAATTCTTGTTCAGTGGAGCTCCGCATAGTTCGTTGCCGACGAAGCTCGACTGATCAAGGCTCTGCAGTTGAGTGCTTTCCGGAATTCATCCCGTCAAATTGTTGTAGGCCAAGTTCAAGTGACTCAGAAATGTCAAATGCGTCATGCTTGGAGGAATTTCACCATCAAGTTGGTTCACGGAAAAATCGAGAGATTCTAACTGTGCCATATTACCAATCTTTGAAGGAATTCTTCCAGTGAAGCGATTATTCGATAAATTGAGTGACTGCAATGCGAGGAGGCCGGTAAGTTCTTCAGGGATCTCTCCATACATAAAGTTGCATGAAAGGTCCATGCCTTTTACGAATCCCAGAATGTTGCTATATTCCATTTCTATCCCTTTCGTTACCAAGATTGCATTCTCAGAAATAATAAACCTAGCCCCATCATATATACTAAACCCAGACCATCTTGACAAAAAGAATTATGACACACTTTTCAAATTGTGGAAGCATCTCGGTATCATTCCTGAGAGTTTGTTATGTGCAAGGTCCAATATCTGGAGACTTTTCAAATAACAAACTTCATTAGGAATATCTCCTTCAAACTTATTCGAACGAAGGTTAAGAACATGCAACCCTGAAAGGCTTTTCCCTATCCATATTGGTATGCTTCCGGAAAACCCATTTTCACTAAGGTCAACAACTGACAACGAGGTACAGTTCTGCAGGGAATGTGGCAATTCTCCGTACAGGTGATTATTGCGCAAGTGCAGTGAGTTCAGCCGTTGTAAGTATCCCATGGACATTGGGACATTCCCAGTTAGGTGGTTGTTTTCTAAATGCAGGAAGCTCAAGGATTGCCAACTCATCCAACAATCGGGTACTTTTCCAGTGAGAAGATTGTTCCCGAGATGAAGAACATCAAGTTGCTTTGTTTCATCCGGCCTATCAAAGAAGAAGTGGAAAACAGATCCAGAAAATGATGAATTGGAAAGATCTAGCCAATATAATGAGGTGGGAACAATAGGCAATGCACCAGTGAAATGGTTAGAACTAAGATCAACCACTGAATATTTACCTCCAACAGATATATTTGGAATCTGCCCATACAACTGATTGTGAGAGAGATTCAGAGATTGTACTTGGGAAGTCAAGTTCCAAAACCAAGTTGGAATAGTACTTGAAATTTGTGTACCAGACAAGCTTAGTTTTTTTAATTGCGTTTGTGTCCACAACCACATCGGCCATTCAGGCCCCAAATGCCAGTAATCCAGCTGCAAAATTTCAAGTTGAAAAGGAGGAACCCAATCTCGACTAGTTTTCAGAGTAAATGAGTTTCCTTTTGCAATGAAATGCTTCAACTTTGTAAGGTTGCTAAAACAAACTTCCGACACTGCACCTTCTAACGAACTATTAGATATATCCAATTCCGTTAGCATTTTGAGTTGACCAATAACTTCAGTGAAACTTCCATTAAACTGATTTCCAGATATGTACAATTTTTCCAAGCTTGACAGATTTCCTAGTGACATTGGAATGGGACCTGATATATTAGTATTCCCCAACGACAACGACTTTATTCCATCTGGACCACATCTAGACAAACTTTCAAAGATTTCGAATGGTCTTTGAACCGTGAAATGGTTCTCTGACAGATCAAGAACTTTCAACTTACAAAGATGCCCCAAAGAATTTGGGATTTTCCCCTCCAACAGATTATTATCCAAGTAAAGATTGACAAGGGATGTCATGTTTCCAATGGAACTCGATATTTCACCGCGTAATAAATTGTTAGAAAGAAGTAAGGACTCGAGATTGTTCAAGCTATACAACCATTCAGGTATGGTAGAATTGAAGTTGTTCTCGTCAAGATTAAGGACTTTAAGACCGGTCATATTCTGAATAGAATTGGGAATCGGATCAAGACTAATAGAATTGTGTGACAAATCAATTTCCCTCAAAGATGTGATATTCTGTGAAATGCTAGGAATTGGACCTTGGAAACCACAAGCACTGAGATCAAGAGAAACTAGATTTTTAAGACTGAAAACCCACCTCGGCATCAAAGGATTAAAATAGTTTTCAGAAAGATCAAGGAGGACCAGGGAAGTAAAATTTGTGGTGGGTAGATGGGGAATTTGATCAAGTCCACAACTAGACATATCTAACTCTACCAAAGAAGGGAGCATGTTTGTAACTTGCAACTAGTCAGATTCTTTGCTAAGATCTACAAAACTCAAGTCCAAGTGTTTCAGCAGAGAAAGACCAGAAATCCACCGAAGGTTTTCAACCATCAGATTGTAATTACTGAGATTGAGATAGCGTAGACTGGAGAGATTTCCTAGTTTATGAGGAATTACTCCATGAAACGATGAGGATGCAAGATTAAGGTGTGTTAAACTTGTCATAGAACCAAAGAAACTGGGAATTTGTGTTGTACTGAAATCATTGTTACTCAAGTCCAAGTAGTTGAGATGCTTTAAACTGAGCAAAGAAGGATTTATCTTACCACCGAAACAAGAGTTGCAATCCCAATCAGAGCCGAAATTATTAAGGTGTAGCTCGTGGATATGGCCGGTTATGTGATCACAGACAACTCCTGTCCAACTGCAACAGTCTGAATCTTCTTCTGCAACCCACGATGCAAGCCGATTGGCAGGGTCCTTGAGATCTTGCTTGAACATCAGAAGTGCTTGTCTTTCGCTTTCTTTGCAAAGTGGAGGCCAACCGGGATTTCCATTGCATAAACCAATACTGAAAGTAATGGTTGCAATGGCTAGAAACCTGATTAGCAGTGTAACAACTCTCATGGTTCTCTCCATAAAGTTCAAGTGTATGAAGCAGGTGATGTGTATGAGCAATGAAGGATCCAGAGTAGTGCTACCTATATATACTAGGGAGCCTCACCTTTTCTAAACCATCCTCTACGGCATGAGACCGCATTTTCAATCAGAGTAGTGCTACCTATATATAGTAGGGAGCCTCACCTTTTCTAAACCATCCTTTACGGCATGAGACCGCATTTTCAAATCGGTGCACATCAATGAGAGTAGCAGTCGTCGGACGGACTCTTGGAATCTTGGACAAAAGTTTCATAGATGATAAGATGGATTAAACTAAGCGGCTATTTAGGACTAGCTAGTCCACATCTATAGAGACACAAGTTAATTTAAGACCCCACTTGGAATTGGGAATCGTCGCTCCTTCAAATACATTGTATTAATATAGATGAATAATTAATTTTTTTGATGGATGTGATATTTTTACTGGGATATAATACGCCCACCTAAGCTGGGTGTCAAATAGGTAAATGTGCAAGTGAAAGTAAAATGGGTAAATTACAATTTACTTCTTTAAATTTTGGTACAATTGTAACGAAATTTTTTTCATCCCATGTTCTATCATTTATATAGTGACACGTGATGTACCATCCCATGTTCCGGTCACATTGAAAAATCTCTCTAATTGTAACCTCGTACAACATTTCTATAGCATTTCAATTTCATACATTTGGTTATAACTAGCAACAATTGCCCATGCGATGTTGCGGGTTTTAAAAGCATTTAAATGATACTGTTGCTTGTATACACACAAAAGATCAGACTTCTATTTACATGCAAAAAAGATTAGACCAACAAAGTTCTCGTGGCTTTGGATCAACAATAGTACCAACATACAAAAGATTATGAAACATTGTTCGATTTACATGCAATTTTTCTATTTACCGTCAGAAAATTAGAATGCTAATATTCAAGGATCATATGCCAGCTTGAAATTGAAAGACTAAACTCTGAATTCAAAACTATTTACATGTGGAATAATTTGAAATGCCTCAAAACATTATCATGATCCAATTGTATATGAAAGACTATCCAGCTACTGCTAAGAAGTAGAGAGTCAATGATCCTTCACTATTCATGGCAAGGCACACCAGATACAACTCATAAAACTCCCACAGATAAGAGCAAAAACGACTCAGTTTGTGTAGTTGGTAAAACCATAAACGATGGTGAATGCATGAAAAGTCACACAGAATAATTAAAGCTTTGATTTTTCTTGCTCAAAGATGATAAGAAGGGTTGAACTGTACATACGGCCATGTAAGTAGCTAGTCCATCTGTAGGGACAGAACTTTAAGACCAGTCATATTGACAACCCCAACAGGAACTGGGAACAGTCCTTCATACAAGTCGTAGCTAAGACTGAGTACCAGGAGTATTTCGTTAAAACTCTCTAAATTTTATGTGGAAAATTTGGCCAAAAACTCTGATGTATTCACACGATGGTGAATGCATGAAAAGTCATGCAGAATAATTAAAGCTTTGATTTTTCTTACTCAAAGATGATAAGAAGGGTTGAACTATACATACTGCCATTTAAGAAGCTAGTCCATCTGTAGAGACAGAACTTTAAGACCAGTCATATTCACAACCCCACCAGGAACTGGGAACAGTCCTTCATACAAGTCGTGGCTAAGACTAAAGACCCTTCGTAGCTAGCTAGGATGCAAACACAATTAGCCCGTGCATTCTGAGACAACCACAATTAGGCTTTAGCCACAGAATGATTGTCAGACCAGCAATAAGGATGCAAGCTATTTCAAGAAATGGAACTTCTCGAGTAATCAGAATGAATGTGAATCAACCTACAATATGCCCCCGAAAAGAATTGAGTTTGGATTAAAGCCGCTCTTTTAAGCAACGTTATTTCAAATGTTTATATTTGGCTACTGCTACATAATTTGATGACCGAAGAAAATGTTTATACTTGATAATCATATTCAAGTATAATAGCTGATCAAAAAGAGGTGGTTCATGGTGAACCCCTGAGTGCGAAAGAAAATGTTTAATCAAAGAGACTTGAAACTCATAACCACATAAATAACAATCTTATTATTATCATGGATGGATGTAATATCATTTATTATGTTTTTAGACACAAATCATAAGACTATATATTTCTAGTTTCATTTCACCTGTAATTTATAACCTGCCCCCTTCCAGTTTAAACTTTAAAGGATGCTTTTCTTCAATCCTGGTTCTTCACAATCAGTGAAGAGTAATGACACATACAGACATTAAAGTTGAAACCTTTTTCCAAGCAGATGCTACACCTACAAAAAGATATTAAGCTTAAAGACCTTAATATCCAGCTTTGGATAATTGGCAAGTATCTGCTAACCTTCCCTTATATGCTACAAATTCTGACTTTAGCTTAGGAGAGCAATGGAATTTGATTAGAATTATTCAGAGCACAAAAATACACGTAAACACATACAAAATTTTTTGAGCCGCACGATATTAGAGAAAATTCATCTGGTGGTTCATCAACTGAAAGCGACGACGATCCAAAATCAAGGGCAGGGTAGACGCCAGGTGGCCTTTCTCGAGGTTTAATTCACAGCTCAGCCCTTCATCAAAAAGTGAAAGATCAAAATTACTTTTACAGGAAGAGCAATACCAGAAGATGTAATCTAAATTATTTATATTTGGTTCCCCTGAAATCCTTTTGACTGCTTCAACATACTATATGCAGACAGAACCAGAACCAAGTCCAGACTCACTCGTAATAGGTCTCCTCATCCACAACAATATCCCAGCTTTCCCCTGTCGTGCTTTTCCCATATTTGTGCACCTTACTGCAAAGAGAGAGCAAGTTAACTTGTCAAAGAAAAACCGGAACAATAGATGCCAATGCAGTTCAGCAAGTTTATTTCCTTTCGTACCCATTTCATAAGTGCTCTTCTCCCCATGTCCTTCACCAACCTAGACATGAGAGAACAAAAACAGAGTTGCATCAGATTAAATTATTGAAAGAAAAAGTTCACTTCTGTTGTAACGAATCGACATTAGAATCAAGCAACCAAGTTATGAAATACGAATTTAAAATGTAACTATTTACCGTGTCTGAAATGAATCTGTGAAATCAAATAGTTAAACCCTAAACAGCACCATTGCAAATAGTATAAGAAAATTGAAATTAACCCTAAAGAAATTGGGAGAGAAGAATATGGAAAGGGAATACCTTTCGGCCCTTTGAGTTATTGGAAAAAAACCCAACAGAGCAACAGATAAACAAAAATACAGGAGGAAAGAAAATAAATTTTCAACTTGTAAGATTCATACGCGAACAGATTGGTGGTCAAAAGCATTTCAAAACTCAGAGCCATCAAGCTTTTTGATCTGCATGGAAATTATTTATGAAGTTTGAGATTCTTATAGACGCTTCAGACACATCGACATATTGAAAAAGCAATATTCAACAACCCTGTTGTTCCTAGTACCCATGCTCCATAGAAGGTTACAGAAAATATGAATGTCTGGACTCTGGAGTGAGAAAGTAAAAGGACTTACTGCGTACTTCATATCTTCCAAGTTTGTGTAGTCTACAATCCCTGTTGTTCCTACAAAAAAGGCATAGGACAAAAGCTAAGTCAATCGAAATTCTGATGTCTCATGAGCTAGGTCCTAGGATTAAACTATTGAACTAACACTATATGAAATAGCAGAGTATATCCCAAAAACAGTCTGAAATCTGGTTGATAATCGAAGAGTTCGAGTATGGAAGAGATGAAAAATGGAGAGAGCACCTGTTTTGGCTGAAGCAACGGTTCACACAATCCGGACAAAACTGCAAATGTCTTAAAAGGGGAAATTATAAAAAGAAACCTTAGCAACTGAATTCAAAGAAACATTCTGACATTGTAAATAACATTTCACAGAAATAAAATAAATAAAAAAAAAACTAAAATAAAAAAAAAAACCTAAAGTAATTACACTCGGATTACAATGTTATCATTTAACAATAGGAATTCCCATACCTTAGCAGAAGATCCTGCATCTGCAAAGGATCCTTTAAAACCTTTTGAGTTCTCCTGTGCATATAGACCCCTTGTAAGTAATCTTAATCAGTCAGTTATCATGAATATACAACTTATATTAATTTTCTACAATATCCAACACACAAATATAACAGAAGAGGAAAATTTTACTTAAGCAGCACAAAATGATATCCTCTGCATTTCATTCCAAAATCCATCACTCTTATGTCTTTGCCTGCACAGTTTTTGCTCCAACATAGCCTGCCATGATGACAGCACTATCAATAATTAAGACATAAAGAAAAGGCTATCCTAGCTAGGTATTATCGTTGGAGTAAACCAACAGCACCATAAGTAAAGTAGCAGACCAAAGTTTTTTTTAGAGTTGATGTCTTAACATGTTTAAGTAGCGAAAAGATTACAACACATTGGATGTGTTAACAGATCCATAAGCTGATGACTCCCTCTCTGGTTTACCGGATCATTCTTAATGTATTCAACAATGCAGCAGCAATTAAAAGTCCTTGGAAAATGCCAAGCTACTATAAAGACATGACGAAAACTATATCTCACCTTACCCCCTTGTTGGCATAGACAGCATATCCATCCTTGTTGTTCGGGGTGAATCATAATCCAGAACTCCATTATCATCATCGTCAAGAATGTCTTTGGCTTTTCTAGCAAGAACACCTCAATACCCATGTTTGGATTCATTAACACTCTTCAATGACGTATACTCGAATCAGATACCGGAATCAGATACAACAAAACACACAAGTCACTAATGAAACAGCACAAAACACACAACCCAAAAATTAAATGAAGAATTTTTTATAACATGCATGTTGATAATACCATGAAAAATTCCACTTCATTATACATGCCTATTGTTTTCTCTGTCCAAATATGAAATTGCCATCATCTTTTTTGAAAGCACAAACCAAAATCACTTCTCAAAGAGATCATACACAGAAGAGAGTGGAAGCTTACCCAAAGCCAATTTCATGTTGTTCACTCCTTTTTTTGGACCCAACAATCTGTGGGTTTGATTGCAGCATAGTGATTTAGTTTAAAATTTCAACATTGATTATATATATATATATATATATATATATGTAGATAATCCTAAACACATCAATTAAATCTCAAATTACAAAGAACACTTCAATCTGACTAAAACTACACAAAGGAAAAAACAAAGACATAAAAATGTTCAAACCAATCTAGAAGCCAAAATGATCCCCCAACATCAGTAAATTAACAATAAAAATCTAAACCCATATAAATTCAAAGGAAAATCAAAACGCGCGAAAAAAATTTTGGATCACAAATTGTCAGGTACAAAAGGATAAATTACAAATCCAAAAGAAAAAAAATCACAAACAAACTAAAACTTCAAATCAGTGAAGACCGTACCTTGAAAAGGGGTCGCCGCTCTTGCCAACATCGGTGCTATCGCCGTCTCGACCCTCAACATGCTTCCGGCCGTACTCGATGACCTTGGTTGTGGAATTCTCCAGCAATTCTGGCAGAATTGGTTATGCCTGTTTGCTCGCCCAAGGTTTTTTGCTGTGAAAGAAGGCAAAATTTATAAGGTCAGAGAGAAACATGATAGCCACGGAAAGAGTGCCAAACAGTGGCGCAAAAAGACTGGCCGACAGTTTTTCATGACCAGCAAAACATACACCCAAGAGAAGCAAGTATAGTTATTAAGATTTAAACATGAAAGCATTAATCGCAAGGAAAAATTCATCATCAATATCAACTTAATGCTGAATCATAAAGAATTAAGAATCAAATGAAAGAGCCACAACTAAATCACATTCCAAGAACAGAAGGTTATATGAACGAACACAAACCAATTACAGAACTCACACTCATTGAACACAAATTTCAGCAAATACCCAGAATAAATAGCAATAACTTAACCATAACCCAGACCCAAATCACAAAAGCGGCAAATATAACCTCAATCCCACTTAAATCCAAACAACCAGATGACCCAATCTCTCAAATATCACCAACTAATGATCAAGGCAGCTACAAAACAGAAAACAAAAATGTGAGTTCTAATTGAATTCATTTACATATACCCTACACCATTAAGATTTAGTAATAAATTTATATTCCTGTATTCCATAAAGAAAAGAAACTCGTCATATAGAACAATTATAGGTACATAATGATTTGATAAGATAACACTTAAACTGTGCAAGACCTTGCTATTGCACCAGCATGGTAGCAAAGCGTAAATTATTTTAATCAGGTACATACCAATTGGTTGTGAATTTTCTGACCGCAGGTGGTTGAAATACCAGCCACAACAATCTTAACATCAACCTCGTCCTGCAAGGAAATGAAGTTAAACGTAAAACAGATCATTCTGGGAACACATGTAACCTAAAAAATGTTATGCATTAAACTTGTGCTTCCAAGCGTATATTATATATGACTTGTCCTGGATGTTCTTATATTAAAGAAACCATGATTATTGTTGCGTATACCTTAAGCTCTGATAGTAGCATAGATACAGCGCGATAAGCAGGGTCTTCTGTGCTTTGCACGATAAACGTAAACTCTAAGGGACCACCATAGAGAGAAGTGACCTGTTTTCGTTAATTAAACAAAATAATTCAGACCATATTGGAAGAAAACCTTGGATACAAATTCAACCTATTAAATTAGTTAGCAGAAGGATTTTGAACACTTCACCAGATAAGACATCCTTACAGTGCAAATATAGAAATTTAGATATGTCCATCAAAAGAAAATATAGTTTAACTATGTTAATCTAACATCACAAAGATATTGAGTTTCCAAGTCTCAGAGCCAATAGAGTGTGATTTGAACTTCTTATGAAGCAAAACCTAATTTTTCAACTCGAAAATAATACAAAAACATGATTGGCTTTGACCACTCTCATTCCAAATGTTCTAGCGTTTGACCACTCTCATTATCAAGGGCTCACCAAATGGGTTTTCGATTTCTGTATGAAATTAGAAGCCTAAGTATGAATCATCAAGAGCAGGATTCATATGTCCCCTTCCTTGCACAGAATCTAAATATGATTGACATGTTCTCAGCACGATTCACTAACATAATGCATAATGTGATCTATGAAATGCCGAACTCAAATGCCGGCAAGCAATTCATCCCAGACGCGACCCCAAATAACAAATTGAAACCCAACAAAAAGAAAAATTTCAAGTGAATTTCTCGGCAACCAAACGGACCCGGATCTGAACGAAACATAAAATGGCGAAAAAAAATCTAAATTTTAAGGGAAAAAAAACAAACCTGGATCTGAACGAAAACTGCTAGCGTGCTGCAGAACGCTCTCTCCCTCCCCCTCTCTCTCTCTCTCTCCTCCTCTCTGTAAGCCGCATGCCTTCCCCTCACCAAATCCCACACTGAGCGGTTGATCCCACCGAATACAATCCTAACTTGTCCCAAACCCAAACTGACAACAATGCCCACCCAACTTTTACCCCCAACCGTGCAATGTTAACCCTGAACGGGCATTCCCGTCATTCGAACCAATGGCAGCTTCGTAAAAAAGCTGAAATATCCAAACCTACTGGTTTGGTACTGAACTCCTTTTATAAATATAAAAGTGAGTATAAAAAAAATTGAGTTCAAAAATATGTTTGATAAATACTTAAAAACAGTTTATTTTCAAAGTTTTGGATATAAAAAAAACTAAAAACGTGAAGTAGCAAAAATGAGTTTATTCTCTCAACACAGCAGAAGCAGTTTTTTTTCCAAAGCACAGCAATACCAAACCAGAAGCCAACAGTGGCATGATCCTAATTAAACTGAAATTCAGACCCTAACACATAGGCCACTCTGAAAAGAAGTGGTGTGGTCTTAAATAGAATAACATTCGGGTTCAAACACTGTTCATTTAAACAGTGCCAATTTCAAATCTTACTTTAGACTAAAGTAATTTATAAAGAACTAGCTTCTCCGCACGCACGTTAAGCATTTTTGCATCACGGACACTACACGTCTCTAAAGGTGTATTATGATAGTTTTTCTTCCATTGTAATTGTCAAGATATATTTTAAATGTATTGTGTAAATATGAACTTTTTCTTTACCATGCACGTTCTAAAAAGTTGTCATGTTTTTCGTTTTCACTTTGCGTAAAGTAATGATTTAAATGTTATTCATGTAATTGTCAAACAACATGGGATTTTAAATGCAAGTTCCTATCTAAAGTCCATAAACAATAGCAAGTAGCATCCACTTTCCAACACTTATAAACATAATTAAAATTTACAAAAATATTAATAGGTCGAATTCCTGGATTAGAGGAACATAACAAAATAAAAAAGACAAAGTAAAACAAAAAGTTTAATTACCAAAAACGTAAAATAACCAAAAGAAAGAATGGAGCAAATTTCCTCACAAATTGCACACCAATTGATTGTTTGCAAGAACATTTCTCTCTCTCCCTCTCTCTCTCCCTCTCTCTCTGATTGAGGCAAAAACCAAAATGGAAAACCTAATAACAGTAAAATACCAATCAAACATTGAAGAGAAAGGAGGAGACATAGGGATAATTCCACTGTAGGAGTGTGCTTGAAATGTTGTAAAACCCTAAAATTGGTTTAGTTTAAAGTTTAAGTTCATATGAGTAGAAAAGCAAATGAGAAAGAATACACATATGAATAAAATTAGATATCTATAAACCTTTACCATCCTAACCATTGTGGAAAATCTTCATTATAGCCAGAGTCATAGAAGATATACGACTCTTCAATACTTTTTTAACAATAATTAAGGGCTATGGTCATAAGGAAAATTAGAATGTTCGAAAGACAATACACTTGTAGGCTTGTAGCAATTAAAAGATTAAACAATTAAGTGGAGAATTACCTGTTAGAATTGAAAATTTATTACAAAAAGTTTGAAAATTGCCCAATTAGATACTGAAAAAGAGAGTGATGAGATGGAGGATTTCAATCAAATTAAAAATTTGCAACATGCAAATGTAGTGGGGGTGAAACTCTTTGGAATCATACTCTTCCTCTTCATACTCTTCACCATCCTCATCGTCCTCATATTCCTCATAGTCATTGCCTAACTGACCATATTCCTATGCTAAAAGAACAGCAAACAATTGTTAAGCTAATCTCTATAAAAAATAATAGAGTATCAAAATCAAAAATTTACATACCAAAACGTAGATAGATGAAGATTGAAAATTTGCTTACATCTCTATCATATCCCGCAGTTCCCTTTCAAAATTTTAAAAAAAAAGAACTCACAAATAAATCCAAATTTCAGATCATACCCAAAAAGAGAAAAAGAAGGTGAGAGATTTGATGATACATGCAACTGTTTTTCTGGATACATGATTTTCCATGGCAATTTTGTTAATCTGTTTGGGAAAATTGACTAATGAAGGCGGAAGAGCCTTTCGGAGTTAAAGAGAAAACAATTTTTTTTTTCTGTGAGAGTGAACATAAACCAATGAAAAAGAAACTGCAAGTTATTAGTGAGATAACTGTTCTTATTCATCTCTAAATGCTGGAGCTATGTGGATGATTAGTGTTGAACCTCCCACCAAACTCATATCGTGGAATCTTAGGAGGAGAAAACTGCCCACTACTACAGCAGTTTGTGACGATTATGCACGTTCGATCTCTTTTCTAATTTTTTTAATTTTCTTTTTTTATATTTACTGTAACTTTTATTTTGAACAATACTGTAACTTTTTTAATTCCAGTGTTTTTTTTTTTAATTTGTTTTTTACACATGTGGTAAAGAAGATTTTTTTATTTATTTTAAATTTGTGTTCTTAAATTGCCCACTACTGCGTATCAGTTTGTGAGGGTTGGTTAAGCACGTTCATGTTTTTCTTTCAAGTTTTTTGTTTTCATTCCAACATTATTTTAAATTTTCTTATGTTTAATTTTTACCGTAACTTTTTTAATTTAATTTGTGTTTTTCCATTAAAGTTTTCATATTTGTTTTTTTTTTTTTGTATTTATATTCGTTTTTTACATATATAGTAAAAAAATAATAATAATTTGTGTTTTTCGATAACTCACTAAGATTCAATGTCGAAGGAAGAAAGAGAAGTCAACTTCTAAATTTTGTCTAAAAATAATAATAATTTGTGTTTTTCGATAACTCACATATTTGGTGATTCTTCCAAGTGCTTTTGGAATCTAAAATCAATTTCACCAAAAACGCTTTCAGTCATTCTAAAAACACTTCTAGACGAGCCATAAGTTGAAAGTAGAAGTAGGAGTAGTCATGAAGTAAGCTTATCCCTTCCAATCCTACCATTTCTTTGGCGATTGGAATGTTCTTCATGATTAATACTTCTTTTGCCTTCCAAATTTCTTTCTTTGACATACATTGAATCTAGCGATTTTTCAATCCAATTCAATCATAGACATCAAGCGAGGCCTTGAAGTATTTGAGTTTGTAAACTTCAGTTTATATTGTGTTTATAGTTTAAGAACAGATTGAAATTGAAAAATCCATTTTACAAAATTATCATCTTGAAGCTTCACTGTAAGCATACCAAGTACCCCTTCAATTCTAACAATAGATTCCGCCATTTGAACAAGATTACATAGAATATCAATCCAGAAATTTATGTTGCAGACAAACAAGACTTGTTCTTGAACACCAAATACACTATCATAGATTCTTCGCTACTGGCTATCGGCCTTTTTCAATGAAACAACTGAATGAATACCAACAAATCTTGATCAAACAATGGCTATTGGCCTCTTATGCTCTCAAACAATGGCTATGGGCCCTTCAATTTTCTAACAATGGCTATGGGCCTTCAATCCTTCAGAAAAATAACAAACATTCGCCAACTAGAACATAACGCAAAACAGATGGTGTGCACTGTGAAATCACAAACAAAGAACCTGATACGAATGAAAATCTTGAACCCTTGAGCAGAAATCCCTGAGAACTTGCAGCTACCATCGAGCTTCAATCAATCAAGAAGACTTGCACATTGGAATTGAAACCAAGGATCGGCCGGCTCTGAAACCATGATTACAGCGCACAGAGAATTGAAGAAAAGCAGAAAACTTAGAGAGAATGAAAGAGAATTGCAGAGAGAGCAGAGGTTATGAGTTTCTGTATATTTCTTCGAATGAATACTTCAAGATTCTTACACACTTATATAGCTCAATGGTTGCCTTATCTCTTAAGCTACTAGTACTAACAGCTCTAACTAATTTTACCGCCAATTCTAACCAACTTGCAAATATACTAACTGCCGCACTTCAGCACCACCTTTTGTACCATACTACCCTTCTTATCCGTCAATACTGGTCAATACAAACTACAAGGACTTCACAACTAGATTTTCTTTAATTACCCTTTAATAAATAAATAAATTAAGTCGTTAGCAAATTAAAACTCTGAGTAAATTAGAGTCATTGGTGGACTGGCGGGGGTTGTGCAGGTGGTTAAGTTCATGGTGAAATTTTTAGTTGTGACGGGAACACGGGTGGTACACCACGCGTTTTTATGTAAGTGGTGAAAATTTTTATTTTTTAAGTTATTCACTTTTTAATACACATATCCCACCATTTATATAAAAACACGTATTGTACCACTCCGTGTAACAATCATACTGAAAATTTATTCATTTAGTCTATCATCTTTTCGAAAGTATTTTATTTAATCGCCAATTGGTCCTTTTGCGTCTTGGGATATATATATCAGATGAATTTTGGTTTTGGGATTCGAACTTGAGAGAAGTGTTGTTATAGTTTTCTAAGAAAGAAAACTGGAGAAGTAGAAAGACGAAGAGTGCCACCCGTGAAGCTAAAGAGTTGAGAAGAGGAGGAATACCCTTGACAAATTTTTAGTTGTGATGGGAACATAGGTGGTACATCACGTGTTTTTATGTAAGTGGTGGAAAATTTTATATTTTAGGTTATTGACATTTTAACATATATATTCTATCATTTATATAACGACACGTGGTGTACCACTCTATGTGACAATCACACTTAAAAATCTCCCGAATACCCTCATAGGCAACACGCGTATATCAAAATGAAATTATACAAACCAAGCAAGAGCAAAATCGGCAGCATACTCAATGAACAAAAAATCCCAACATTTTCAAAGCTTTTCACTTTTCAACGAAGTGGCAGAGAAGGGTCAAAATTTTTAAAAATAGAATCAAAAGGGAAAGGGGTGTGATATTCACACACACCCCATTTTACTTCTCACACATCTTTTTAATTTTCGGCTGTCGGATCAGATAAATTGAAGAAGATCAATGGACATAAATTATCGAAGGGTATGTGAGAAGTAAAATGGGGTGTGTGGATAGTACACCCCAAAGGAAAAATAGAAAATCCCAACATTCAATCTCCCAAAAAAAAAAAAAAAAAAAAAAAAAAAAAAAACTGACAAGTAAATGAGAAGAAAATACATAACAAGGTTGGTTGCATGGT